AATGTCACGGCAGTGGTGTGTGTATCTCGGAGTGTGGAGGGTAAGGCAGACAGACAGGCAGAAAGGCTTGAGCGAAGGACAGGAATAAGGTAGATAGACAGGCAGTCAACAGAGAAGACAAGCCTTGTGGTCCAGAGGCAATAAATATGATATCAACATTCCTCACTGATTGGAAACCAACACACATGAGAAAACACACTCACACCCAGACCTTGGAGGACCTGCATACACACTGACACACATGAGCAAAGGAGGAGCGGGGTGGCAGCTTGCTTCTGTCTGTCACTTTACTTAAACTGCAGTCAGGCCAGTGTCACCAAGAGAAACAATGAGCTCTTTTCCTCCTGTGCAGCTGTGACAACCTCAGACAACTTAAACCTCACCAACCCTCACCCTCACCTCCCCACTCCACACACACACAGATTTCAGTAAAAAATCACTGTGGTAGTGAGAGCAAAAAAGGAAAATGTGATTTTGAGTATATGACAAGATCTGTACTTGATTGTACAACACAGAAAGAAAGTGTGTGAGTAAGAGAGAGAGAGAGAGGGAGAGCGAGAGGGAGAAAGCTAGGGAGTAGATGTGACTCGTTCCTGGCATCTTGCATCAGAGGAAAGTCCTTTTGGCCTGTCATTCAGCGTCAGCTTGTATTAGAGGCTAAAGAAAACCCCAGGGAGGGAGAGAAACAGCAACACAGAGAAAGGGGGTAGATCTGCAGGAGCAATGGCAGAAAGGGAGGGGGAAAGAGAGACAAAAAAAGAGGACGATAAGAGAAGAAGAGAGAAAGATCCTGCAGAGAAACAAAGTGAGGGGTAAGCATGTGGAGATGGGGGGCAGGTGGGACTTTAAAGAGGAGGTATTATGCTTTTTTTTCAGACTTTATACTTCCTCTCTGATACCTCTTTAATAGCTGTACATGATTTTCAGATCAAAACAACCCTAAAACTGGTGTATTAAAATATTATTATTTCAGCGTCCATTTAAAACACTTCATATTAGTTGCTGTCTCTTTAAGCCCCCCCCCTTCACAAGCCCAATTTCTTCTGATTGGCCAGCTCTCCTGAGCCTATTAAGTGGTTGGCCAAGGACAGAGCCTTTAACTCTGACACAAGCATTCTAGTGGGTCCCACCTTTACTGATATGGTCCTGTTTTGAGCAGTTTAAGTGTATTTTTTAGGATTATGACAACATACACTCACCGGCCACTTTATTAGGTACACCTGTCCAACTGCTCGTTAACAGTTAATTTCTAATCAGCCAATCACATGGCGGCAACTTAGTGCATTTAGGCATGTAGACATGGTCAAGACAATCTCCTGCAGTTCAAACCGAGCATCAGTATGGGGAAGAAAGGTGATTTGAGTGACTTTGAACGTGGCATGGTTGTTGGTGCCAGAAGGGCTGGTCTGAGTATTTCAGAAACTGCTGATCTACTGGGATTTTCACGCACAACCATCTCTAGGGTTTACAGAGAATGGTCTGAAAAAGAAAAAATATCCAGTGAGCGGCAGTTCTGTGGGCGGAAATGCCTTGTTGATGCCAGAGGTCAGAGGAGAATGGCCAGGCTGGTTCGAGCTGATAGAAAGGCAACAGTGACTCAAATAACCACCCGTTACAACCAAGGTAGGCAGAAGAGCATCTCTGAACGCACAGTACGTCGAACTTTGAGGCAGATGGGCTACAGCAGCAGAAGACCACGCCGGGTGCCACTCCTTTCAGCTAAGAACAGGAAACTGAGGCTACAATTTGCACAAGCTCATCGAAATTGGACAATAGAAGATTGGAAAAACGTTGCCTGGTCTGATGAGTCTCCATTTCTGCTGCGAAATTCGGATGGTAGGGTCAGAATTTGGCGTCAACAACATGAAAGCATGGATCCATCCTGCCTTGTATCAACGGTTCAGGCTGGTGGTGGTGGTGTCATGGTGTGGGGAATATTTTCTTGGCACTCTTTGGGCCCCTTGGTACCAATTGAGCATCGTTGCAACGCCACAGCCTACCTGAGTATTGTTGCTGACCATGTCCATCCCTTTATGACCACAATGTACCCAACTTCTGATGGCTACTTTCAGCAGGATAATGCGCCATGTCATAAAGCTGGAATCATCTCAGACTGGTTTCTTGAACATGACAATGAGTTCACTGTACTCAAATGGCCTCCACAGTCACCAGATCTCAATCCAATAGAGCATCTTTGGGATGTGGTGGAACGGGAGATTCGCATCATGGATGTGCAGCCGACAAATCTGCGGCAACTGTGTGATGCCATCATGTCAATATGGACCAAGCTCTCTGAGGAATGCTTCCAGCACCTTGTTGAATCTATGCCACGAAGAATTGAGGCAGTTCTGAAGGCAAAAGGGGGTCCAACCCGTTACTAGCATGGTGTACCTAATAAAGTGGCCGGTGAGTGTATATTTACCTCATGATTTGAAACTTTACATACATCTAGAATTGACACCAAACACTGTAACGTTGCTATTTTTGTTGTACATGTGGAAAATCATAATTCCACCTCTTTAATGGCAAAATGGAAGAACAAGAGGGAGTAGTTGAGCAGAAGCTAATAATAGGCTAATAATAATAATAATAATAATAATAATAATAATAATAATAATAATAATAATAATGAACTGTATGTTATATAATGCCTCATGTCCTTTGTATATGGTAGGCCCAAAAATAAACTCCTTATACGTCTGGTGTTTAGCTGGACAAATAGCAGGCAGCTGAATTGAAGGAAACAGCTTAGTAGCTTGTTAGCAGCCTGTTAGCTCAGCAAGCACAGTGTCAAAAGGTTTGTATGAACTCTACAGCAAAAGTTCACATAATGCACTTGAGGTAGATCCTGGACTAAAATGTGACAGAGGGGAGGAGTTTTCTTAGTGCATCAGATTTTCTTGGAGATTCAAAGAGAAATGAACGGCTGGTTCCAGCTGGCTTGTCCATATGCACACACGGGATATACTGAAGGCCCAAAATTAGTTTGGATTCCTTTGGACCTGTGCATGAAACTTAATCAAAAAGTTAACAGCACTGTGAAAGACTCAAACTAAGGTGTGTCCTCATGTGGCATGTTGTGACTGGTCATCATCCCTTACTTTCATGGAGAGGGGTAAAAAAAAAACAGTTTCATTAACACAGGACTCAATCAGAGAAAGCAACCCAAATCTGAACTCTTATGCAAAAAAAGTGCAAATGCTTTCTGACTGGCTGGAATCACTGGACATGACTCAGTTATTATGTATTTTGGTAATAATACAGACTTTGTGAAATGAATATCAGTTGAATTTAAAACATGAAAGTCCCATTAAATATGGGATTAGAAGGGTGCCAGATTTGCATAGTAGTTAAATTGCAGTAGAAGTTAGCTCACATATTCACTTTGTATTCAAACTAAACTTTAAACTATTTAAAATGAAAATATTCCATCTATGAAGAATAAAGTGTAATGGACACCAACTTTCTGACATCTGGGACTCTTGATCTTGATTTATGATGTCTTGACTCACATGAGAGTGAGGATGATGATGGTGTTACTTTTCATGTGACAGTCAAACTGTTATTGGCCATTTTTGAGGTCTGAGAAGATGATTAAAATTGCATCACTTGATTGAGTTTATTTTGAGGAGATACTGTTCAGTTTGTTTAATAGGCCCCTAAATGGCACTGCAGACTTTGAAATACATATTGAAGATGCTATCTACTTGGGTTATGGATAATGTAGGGTACATCATTTTTTAAACCTCATGCAAGTCAGATATCTCACTCTCTGCAGCATCAGATTTAACGATTCTGTTAGAGTGGCACTGAATCACTAGAAAATACTTGAACGATCTTTTGTGTCTGCTGGTTTGCTGAGTGGAGCTTAGACAATGCTTTGTACTGTTACACTTTCATGCTATTCTGTATAGCTCTAACATAATCAAAGATTTGACCTGAGACACATCAGTTGGCACCCAGGTTTAGGTTTAGCAGCATCCACTGAAACTTTCAGATTGTAGATTTCACATCACCTTCAGGGGTTCATTACACATTCTTACTTGGTTTTATATGTATACAGAAGTCCACAGTGAATGGTGAAGAGTAACTTAAAAACTTTTTGAAGCAGTTGTCTGCTTCAATGTGATGACATTGGTGGGTTGAGAACAAATGGACACACTTGTTCTCATCTTGTGTCCTCCTTCACGATGGCTTCAGCTGCTTCTGTAGTACACCTGTAAATTTCAGAAAAGACTGTTTAGATAGATAGATAGAAATGAGAGAGAGAGAGAGAGAGAGAGAGAGAGAGAGAGAGAGAGAGAGAGAGAGAGAGAGAGAGAGAAATGGTGGGGCGGGGAGGGGGCGGTCGGCGCGCAGTGATTGGAAAATATCGAAAACGCGCACGCGCTAATCCGATGATAGGTCTCTGTTACCGAGGGGAAGGAGGGGTCTGTAAAAAAAATAGTAGGACCAGGGCGGGAGGATCTTGCGCTCGCGCGCCTCGTCCCTTCCTCCTGAGCCTTTTGTGTTTGAAACTCTCATATCTAACATATCAATAATTCAAGCCCGCGAAAGAGAGAGAGCAGACGGAGCTCCCCCTGCGCGCTATGAGTTCTGCTGTCTCGTCACTCGTCCAGGGCCCCTCAGCACCGCGCGCGAATCCCGTTTATCCTGTTTGCAAGTGACAGAAAAGCTGCTGAAAAGTACGAAAAGAGGAAGAGAGCAGGTGAAAGCTGGTTCGAAGAGCGGAGATACGGGAGTAATAAGATTATCGACCAAAGGAGAGACGGAAAGAACTAACCCGTCTTGTTCCCATCAGAGATCCACAGCGAGGGAGAAAGACTGTTTTCCATAGGTTGATTTAATCCGAGCAAACGGACTGGCATCTAGTTGTAGAAATAACCCACCAGCCTGGTTCTTCGGGGGAACACGGGGAAACTCTTGCCACCGTACTTTTTTGAAGGGGAGCAGATCCAGGGTTTGAAGCGTGAAGGCGACAGTCGAAGTTCTGGTCCGGTATGTTGGCGGTTTGCCTGCTGAGTGCCGTGTGGCTCGCGGCGAGCCCAGCCCGCGCTCAGAATGAGACGGAACCAATTGTCTTGGAGGGGAAGTGCCTGGTGGTGTGCGACTCCAACCCGACCTCGGACCCAACAGGCACCGCGCTTGGGATCTCTGTGCGCTCCGGTAGCGCAAAAGTGGCGTTTTCAGCAGTCCGGAACACCAACCATGAGCCCTCTGAGATGAGCAACCGGACAATGGTCATCTACTTCGACCGGGTAAGAGGATAGATATTCTATTCTATTCTATCCAGCAAAGACAAAAGACCGTCTAAATTAAAGAAGGAAATCAAGTTTCCCAATTGAATTTTTCATGTAACTGGGTTTAGTTTTAATAGGATAGCACCCGAAAGAGGAGGTATGTAGTTCAACGCTCATGTGAAGTTTTAATGGCACGTGCGGTCACTTAGTGTGTGTAAAACCTAGTGTGGCGGTTGTTAAAAATATGGAGGACAGACAAAAAGAGCTCGTTCGGATGGAAAGGTAAAAAAGGGTAAATAAGGCAAAGGGTACGAGCTACACAGCTTGAGCGCAGCTGTCTCTCGTGCGCTCCTGGTAATGGTCTCGTGGAAAGCAGAGAGCAGCATCATTCTGGAGGACTAAAACTGGAGCGGAAATGATCTGTCTCCGTAACGATTCTTTTTATAGGAAATACGTTTCCAAAGTGGTCGAGAAAGTAAAGCTTGGCGGACAAGCCTTTTGAATATTTCAACTTTCCCGAGCTGCCAATATGGAACACAGGAAACTGACATCTCACCAAATAATTTAGTAACGGCAGGTCGCGAGGGCGAGGTCCTCCCCGCCTCCCGTTAAAGGTTAATTCTCTCTCAAACTGCCGTTCAATTACACGCCATAGTCCGCCTGCCTTCATAAAACCAGACATTTGGCTGCGGGAATGCATAATTGAAAATTCCATTTGAAAGATTGATTGAGTCCCCTTTCATTCCGCATAAAGTAGAAGTTCTGACAGGAGAAAAAGCCTAGATAAAAGCAGAGTGTTATTCTGCTACAACTCTGAATCTGAATATGAGGTCCGGGCCCGAGGGGCCTTTTAGAACCTCTTACACACAATGCGTAAGAGACAGGGGAGTTCAAGTGTTTTCTAGAAACTTTTCGAAAAAGAAATGAATATTTTGCCAGATGGATATGTCTAAGAAGAAAGCCTCGTTTTTTTTTTCAAAAGAAGAATTCATGACGAATATAAAAGTCAATTGTTCCCGGATGCTTATGTTATGTGTTTGTCGGGACGTTTTGGCTGTGTGTTTTTATGCATCCCTGTGATATGAGAGTGCCTTTTACGAGCAGACATTATGAAAGAAAACCGCCATACCCAGTCAACCACTTTCTTTCTTTCTTTCTTTCTTTCTTTCTTTCTTTCTTTCTTTCTTTCTTTCACCAGGTTCTAGTTAATGTTGGGAAGAATTTCGACGAGGAGAGAAGTAATTTTATCGCACCACGTAAAGGGATTTACAGTTTTAACTTCCACGTAGTGAAAGTCTACAACCGCCAAACTATTCAGGTAACATCGCCTATTTCCGTCCTGTACGCATGTGTGAGTGCGTGCGTGTGTGCGTTAGCGCGGGCCACCCCGCACTGTTTTTCCCTCATCAAAGTTGAATATCACCCGCAGTCGAAGTCATTCTGAAGATGTTTGAACTGTCTATCCCGGGAGACAACGACGAGGGCGGGCGTTAGCAGATGAAAGCTAGTCGCCTGCCACCCGCCGGCCCAATCATAATTAATCAATACATGCACAGAGGATAGAGTCAAATCAGGCGCGTGCAGCCGGCAGGAAGACTGAGCGCTGGGATGAGCGCGAGGAGGGCCACGCGACTCCTGTGGCTGTACTTTCAGCACCATGGACAGCGTCGTTTCCTCCTCTCTCCCTCTGCGTATGAAGGGAGGCAGCAGGCAGGCTAAGATTTTTGATTATTTAGAAGATTAAAACATTAAATACATTTTGAACAGAACAAACAGAGGCAGGCTTTTTAATTTTCTCTCCCTTTCACACAAATAAACAAGCTCTCACATGGGTTTTTCTGTACGAATAGCGTGTTTTTTCTCCCTGCTTATTTACTTCTTACACACTTGCATACACACAGCCTGCAGTGTGCCCCATCACAGCCCTCCTCTCATCCTCGTTATCACCATGCTTTAGATGCAGTACCCTCATTCTTTTGATGTGTGGAGTGAAGCACTTGAACAGTCTTAAGCTCATTTCCACCATTTAACATGCACTGGTTGAAGCTTCACAGGCAACATAGCGTTAATTACAATGTATCTCAGGCAAGTTAAACTGTTGTGTAATTATGATGTTAGTTCCCCGCGGCTTTGGCATTCTGTTTTTCTACTTATACTTCATTATGGGAGTCTTGAATTAATTAGCAAGGCAGCAACAATAACAACAACATGGAGGGCGGGTGGTGTGTGTGAGGGGGAAGAGCGATGTCAAGCCCGCCGCTAACTCCTGGTCATCTTTGTGTGGGGCACTTGACTCGTGTTTAGGCTGTAATTAAATCTGTCTGAATGTAATAGTGAGAATGCGTGCCCCATTGTCATGAGTACATTTTCATATATGCAATTTAAAGTGACCCCAACCCGAAGCCTTCATAACACCAAGTTTACTTTAGCATTAAATCGCTAAACACAGTGAAACAGAAAGCCGTCATTTTGAGCATCCCTTGACCAACTGACCTTTACGGCAGCAATCCTAGCAAAAAAGGGAAGATTTTCCCGTTTACTTTTAAACCCTCAAAAGCTCCAGACCTTTTGTTGAATACGATCATTTCCAAAGTGATCCAGAAATTTCAAGTTTAAATGCAGCGAGAGGAGGCTGAGCACTGTCACGTTCCTGACACGAAACAGACAGGTGTAGGTTGTCCTCTCTCCTCAAAGCACCCAGCCGCTCACCTTCAACCTCTTCCACTCATCCTCCCATCCATCCAGCGCATCTGCTGTGTTGAAAACTCCCACTGTTTGATTGCCTTAGAGGCAGCTACTGCGGTGCATGCAGGAGATGAGAGACAGCAGGGAAAGGAGGGCGGCGGGGATGAAGAAGATTGGAAGAGGAAGTAAATATTAGAATAAATGAAATCAGTGAAAAGGACAAGCTAACAAATAAAGACTGAAGGACGAGGAGAAGTAAGTGAAAATGACCAAAAGAAAGACAGCGAGAGAAAACAGAGAAGACAAAAATTGAAAAATATTTCAGAGGATCCAAAAGTGTAATAAGTTAAAACAGAGTAAGACAAAAAAGAAGCAGTGGACGGAGAAGGGCAGGGTGGACAGGAAGGAAAGAAAAAGAAAAGGTTAACGCCAAGAGATAGACAGGGGAAAAGCCAGACATTGTGAAGATCTATTGATCAGTGGGTGCTTGGTAGAAGTACACAAAGAAAGAATAAACATTTTTTCCCCTTCTCATCACTTGTTTCCAGCACAGGAATCTGTCTGCCCGTCTGTTTGTGAGGGGTGAGAGGAGTGACGTGGGTGTCAGAAAGCTGCTGTGAACCTGTTTCATTTTTTTCCTGACAATTACATACTGCAAATTAAACACGGTTTATTCTTTGATCAGGAAAGAAAACTATCACACTCTCTGCACAGCCACCCATCAGCTGTGATGACCTCCACTAATGGAGAGCTTCCTTACCATGTTTTTTCTTTTTTGACAATATACAGTACATTTCAAACACACTATAATGTTGCACGGTTTCATCTCAGATGCAGTGATTTGCATGTCTTACATGTGCTGGTGTTCTCAGGTTGGAGTTAAATTTAATCAAATGAATTCAGTGTCCTCCAGTGAGCATCTTGTACCTGCAGCTTGGACTAGAAAGCTTGCAGATCAGAAAGACAAACAGCTGAAATGCTGGTTTGTTTAAGACCATATCACCGTGTAGTGAGGTGTTGGACAGAGGTTATGAGCGGCAATTCAGAGAAAAGCAAAACATAAGCCAGTAGTTAAATAATTACGTCTCAGCCTGTCAGAGACAAGTTGACAAAGGTTTTGTTTGAACAAAAGAGGCCTTTTTAAGAGAGTTTGTGTCTTAATATTCAGGAAGATCATTGAAAAGCGTGGAGTAGAATGGTAAGGAAAAAAAAGTACTCTATTGTATTTTTTTCTAATAATCAGAATGAGTGGTATTTCACAGTGTTTTTGGGTATCTAAGCTCTCTGAATTGGCATTCATGAAGCTTCAGGTCACAGCAGCTCTTGGTGAAAGCTTTACAAGGAGCACATCTAAAATGCTGCGTGCTGAGTGTGTATTAAGCTTTTCATTTTCCCATCAAGAGAAGAAAACCTGGAGGCACTGCCTCAAGCTGCTGATAGCACACTGCTCTGATAATAACTTATTTTACCTTTAACGCCATGCTCTTTAGTTATAAAACTTAAATTTAGACTGAGAGTAGCTGCATTTTACTCTCTCCTCTAAAGCAGAATCCTTTCTGCTGTTTCAACACTAGTTCGCATTTGTTCTCTGGGTTCCAACACACATTTTCAGTCTCTAACTCGGGTCACCGGGGTCATGCTATGTTGTAATGAGCTATATCTCTCCTGAGGGATGGCAGACATGCTTTGTTTTCAAATGTCTTGTAGCTAATTTAGAGCAGCAAATTCTAGCCCTGTTAATTGTGCATCATGGTCATACTCATTAATATCATTTCAGTCAGGCACTGTTACGCTGTGCTGAAATCCATTGCTGTGTTTAGAGAGAGTAATTCAGTTAGCAGGTTTTTAATCAGTGTGCTCTGATTTAACTGGTTGTTGAAAAGTTAAACTGATAATGTAAATACACTGAAAGTAAAAGGGAAAGTAACCGTAATAATTGCTTTACGTACAGAAACACAAGATTGGACTTAAGTAACGGTGTGGTCGGAAAATGTAAATGGACCAGGCGACAGACCCTGTTTTAATTCAGGATCATCACCATTACCCTTGAAATGTAATTACTTGTGAATACTAGTTCTTCTAATGAACTACAACTCTAAAAGTAAAATCAAGCATACCTACATGAAGAACGCTTTTGTTTAATTTTTCCACACCAAACAAACAACATTTTAAACACTTAATTTTACACCTAAAAACTATACAAGTATCTTTAGTTAATTTGGAAATCTATTTTTTAGCAGTTTTTTTTTTCTTTTTAAAAACATCTACAATAAATCAGTGTGTTACTGTGTCACATGCGCCACTTCCCTGACCAAAACTGGTACACTGTTGTCACAAAGGCCGTCTAATCCCAATGCCTAGAGTGTCAGTGAGGCAGATTAAAACATTCACACACTTATTCCAGATTGATTCGTAAATTAAACCACTGAGGTGAAATTGTGCATAAGCCTCATTCTTTATGGACACACCTGAAAATCATCAGTTAATCCGGTGTGGCCTTATTCTCTGTGAAGCTCTGCATGACAGCTAATAGACTATGAGACACAATTTGAACATGTTAAATGACCAGCCTTTCAATTGACCTACAGGAATCTCACACTATTACTATTATCTGGATCCATTGACATACAGTATATTCATCTATTGCATAATGCTGATTAGGCATAAAACCACGAAAGACATGTCATATATCTTACAGAGAAATTGCATCAATCATGTTTTACCATTTCTTAACTATATAAAAAAATGTATGTATCAAAAGAACAGAAACTCTCTTTAAGTTTTCTTTAATCAAAAAAACAAACCAACAAAAAAAAAACAGGCTGTCAAACAAAAGACTGCATAAAACAATTGACAGAAGAAGAGAAATCCCAGGTTATAAAGCCCGCCTCCTCCAATATAACAGATTTAACACGGCTTAAAAAAGAAAATTAAAACACATGACAACCCAAGTAATTTTTCTCAAACAGGCCTGCTGTCACAACGATAGTTCTTATGCTGGTTTATGTGCAACTGCTTATTTTTTCTTAGGATAATATCTCAGGATATTAAGGGATACTTGATGTTTGATCATGTTGTTTATGGTGTGCCTTAGGTTGGAAAAAGAGGTGTAACATCAGTCTCCATCAGCCAGCAATTTTCCAGCACTTATTGGGGTGGTCTTTTAACTTCAAAACTCAGTATCAATATAAAGTATAGGGGTCCATCTCACAGACACTTATACAAGCTTTAGGACTAGTAACACCTCACACATAGTACAAACGTAACTAATGTGTCACCACAACTGTTGTGTATGTGAAGACATTAACTGGTTGTGTTACTCACAAAGTAAACAGAATGAGATGCGGGAACTGTACTCAAAGGAGCTTGTTCTGCTGTTATTGAGCTCAGACGCTGCTCATCTCGTACAGTGGAGATGCAGGGAAATGAGAGGCAAGTCAGAGCCACATAAATAAGCACCTTATCTGTCCCTGCGTTCCCTCATCTTTGAAATGGTGGAGGGAGAAAAGGGGGACAAAAAGACAAGATAATAGAGTTGGTTTGTCTGCAGCTGGCCAGGCGACAGTATATCCTCTGAGTTGTCAGACTTCTTGCAAAGACAGTGTATTTAAGCTGCTCCTTTGTGAGCTTGTTTCAAGGTTGAACATGATCAATTTTACTATATATGAATAAAAAATAGATGGGAAGTCATTTTTCGGCAATTTACTGTAAGTGTAGAAGGAAATTTCATCAAGACAGAAAGTCTCTACAAATCCTGGATAGTTTATATTTTATACAGACATTCACGGTCCCTAAAGGATTAACCCCATTGACCTTAGAGACCACCTAACCTTTCTCAAGCACCACCAGGAGATCAAAATCTTAATGTTCCTGAGGGAAATATCCAGGCATCTCTTGGCTTTTCTGGCACTGAATCATGATAAGTCATGGTGACAGATCTCTCTGGCTTTTGAAATCTATATTTCCTTTTTTGGAGGTGGTTAGATGGATTGTTTTGAAATTTGGCACATGGAACCCCTCTATTGGAATCCCCTGAGAAAATTTGTTGTCAATTCTCTAGCACAGCCCTCATACTTGCACTTTCATCAATGAGACATACTCTGTTTCAGCTTGGGCAAAAATTTGCTCGTAAAATGCTTAAAAATGGTTTACAATGTTGATTTATTGGCTCTTTTTGATTCTATTTCATAACACCCCCCCCCCCCACCACCACCACCCACACACACACACACACACACACACACACACACACACACACACACACACACACACACACACACACACACACACAACTTGGTACCCCTGTTCTGAGAACAAAGATATCTTAATCATACGACATTTTTTTCTTGTTAAAATCTGATCAATCATGTCTGTTTTGTCTATCTGAGTAATTCAACACACTTTAATGCATATTTAAATGTTGAAAAGTTTAATTGATCAGCTGTCATGGCTGTAAGAATAGCTTTTTTTCTGTTTTACTCCCTGAAAAATGTTTCAAGTGGTCAAATCTAATAGCTCACCTTTCAGCTAATATTATAGCATCAGTTCTTTTGTCTGATGTGACATTTTAATGGGTATATTTTGGGGCAAATATGGTGGTGACTGTAAAAGTGACTCATTTGTCAAGATGATCCATTGTCAGAAGCTGAAGGTTCTCATTATCAAATTGTTCCTTTTGGGTGAAAATGGTTAAGGCTGGATGTTAAGCAGAGTTGGATGAAAGCATATTAACAGTAGTCTTGTCATATTCATGTTCCTCCCATAAATGCAGGTGTACTGTGAGGTAAAGCTATACTGCACAACACAATATAAGCTCATTGGACAACAACAACAACAACAAAAATAAATAAATAAAAACAGATGCATACACAAGCATGAAATCAAGAGATTCTGCAAACCAGATGGAGGCTGTATTTATTTGAAATAAAGCAGATGAAAGAGGGAGCACTCTTTGAGAAAATCAATGTGTTTAAATTAAACAAGATTATGATGAAACCCTGCATAATGGAGTTATTTGGATTCAAGACATAACACCTTATCTACATTTATCTGTAGTAATCCCAACCAGGACACTTCAACGAGACGATGCAATAAATCTTCCTGTTTGGGATAGTGAATGGCTTTTATAGCATATTTAAGGCATTTTTTTTTTAATGCAGCTATAAATGGAATTTTGGAATTTCCACCTGTGGGACTAATAAAGGTTTATCTTATCTTATAAACATGTTGCTGACATTAGGCTTTCAGAAAGCATCATAATGTTTGGTTTATTAAGGTCTTCATCGACCTTATGAAATGTATAATGTAATGTGGGAAGGAACGGCAAGTGATTCACGCAACAAGATGGCCCAGCCAGGCTAGTGCTCAGAGGGTTTTGCCACACACTTATAGATGGGCAAGTGGGGATAATTTTTGTAGTAGTTGTCCCAGTAGTAGGCTTGCTGTATTTTGCCTGGCAGTGGATTTAGGAGAAATATGTGTGACTCTCTACGGTCAACATGGTGTTTAGTAGTTCAGCCAGCAAAGGTTTTCTTCAGGTAGCCCTGGAGACTGAGCTGCTTTCTCAACAGTGTATATTCACTATGTTGTCAACTTAGATAGACTGAAGAAGAAGTGCACAACAGCAGGGGAATTTAAACTGTTCATGGACTGAATGTTGTGAGAGTACACGGTTCTGACAGAGAAGTTGGACTGAACTTGTCAAGACGCTTTGAATGCACGTTTAACCCTAGAACATGTTTGTATTGAGGTAGAATAGCTGCCAGCATGAGTGCAGCAGAGTTTCGCAGCTCAAGGAAGAACATTTATGATCATTACTTCATGGAAATGCAATCAGACCGAGACACTAAGGCAGAGGAACTACTGCGTCTGTGGTGCAAAATGATTGTTATGATGATTATTACTTCAAGGAAATGATCCGCTGCACTCGGTGATAGACTTGTCAGGGCTCCCACACAAACAAGCAGCTGCTGGAGAAAAGTGGGTGAGTTGTGTTTGGTCTCTTTGCCAGAGAAACCAGGCAAAGCTAAAAAGACGTTTGATGGCTAGTACGATGACTGGGACCCTATATGTACTGTTGATGAAGTGAGGTGCTATTCTGAGCATTATTTGTGGCTATAAAGTGGCGTTTTGTTTGAGGTTTGCCCATGGAGACTTAGACCGCCGTGTATTGCTATTGTGCGGTCCTTGCTGAAGTTGGTATTACTAGAGAAGCAAACAGTCGGCAATATCCATCTCCTGAGGGTGTGTGTGTGTGTGTGTGTGTGTGTGTGTGTGTGTGTGTGTTGGGTATTGCACATCAGACTGTGTCGAGGCTTTGGGGGTTTCACAGCAGCTTGTGTAGCTTGACCTGTTCGGGGTGTCAGTTTAACATGAATGTTCACAGCACTGATCAAGGGCAGTGAAACACAACCCTATCTTTTAAATCTCACATTAATTTAGACTTTTTTCCTACCAGCTGAAGGAGCAGTGATAAAGTCCAGTTTTGTCATCTGTTGTACCTGCTGTTCTGTACATCTCATGATACGAACTTAGGGTTTGTTATTCATTCATTTCACGTGATGCCTGGTTCAGCCAGTACGGCCTGGTGGTTAAGTAGGGACCCCGTGTACAGAGGCTGCAGTCCTACACCAGGCAGCCTGGGTTCCACTCCTTCCCTCCTCCATCAACCGTCCTGTCCTTTCTGACTAAAGGCATAACAGGCTGAAAATAACCTTAAAGAACCATCCTCTGTGGTAAACTGTGGTTATTCCACTGTTTCAAATTGACCAGCAGCTACAAAAACAAGAGACAAAAGGGAACTAGAAGAGAGATTGGGCCAGATAACAGGTATAAAAAACACATTCGACAACCAGTTAGCTAACATCAGGACTCAGCTAACATTAACATTTAGCCACTTTAGGGTTATACGGTCTACCAATACTGGTATCGTAGCACAATACCACGCCATTAAAAAACAAAAAAATACCCTGTGTTTTCAGTTATGACACTTTCTGACTGGCAGTGTTTTAATCAGAGCGGCTGAAGGCTGCACTCTGTGTCTACGGCTACAGTGCACTCTGGCTTCTCTCTCTCTCTCTCTTTAGTGGGTGGAGTGTTCTCTCGCTCTCAGTGTGTGTGTATAGTGAGACGGACAGACATTGCTGAGAGAAGTGCTTCCGTGGACTGGCCATAGCTTGTCGAAAAAGATGGTGCACAGAACAAAATATGGATCTATTTCACCAATACAGCCGACAGTAAAGGCAGGCCAAAAGACACCTCAACCCCCCTTGTGTAAAGCCTGGTACCAGCCCATGCAGACCAAGGGAGAAAAGAAGTCTAACATGGCAAAACACCTCGCTGTCCACCATCCGCAAGTGTTGAGAGAATTTAATGAGTGACAGATGAGCAAATGTGAAAGACATGCCCTCAAATATAGAGGGCTATGTATCTTTGGTTACATTTGTTGATACAATTAATCATCCCTTTCATAAAAAAACCCTTTGTTTTGTGATCGAAACACACAAAAATCTTAGACTATGTTTTGCTTATTAAATCTTGAAAATATGTGATCTCTGCTTATTGATCGAAAAATTTCTTAATTTGTTGAATTGTGCAATCAAGAAATGACATTCCTCTTGAGAGACGGCTTATATATCGTTAATAGATGAGCCGATGAGAGCACACACTACCCCCAGCTACAGAGCTGCATGAGTCATGATGTAGTTTAAAAATGTGACGCATAACTATGAGTTAAGTAATTTTTTACTTAACTTTAAAAAAATCTAATGTATAATGTTAAGAATGTATCAATTCAGTGTATAAACAGCATAGGCCAAACAGTTGGTGCACAGAGCATGAAAATAAATAAATGTTAACATTAACTGTAAATCTGGCTGGATGAAGAACCTGCTTACTACAGCTCTACACTGCATTAATGAAGCTGTCACAACAATGAGTCACTTCACCTCTGTCACCTTTTGTCTTCTTTTATTCCATGAGTTTTACAAATTTTAGGTTTTGCCATGGTATCGTTTCAATATAGGTATCAAGATACTTTTGGTAGGTATTGTATCGAGGTCATGATTTTAGTGCCGTAACTAGACCCTCCAGAAAAACGTGGGCATAAATCCTTGATTACGAGGGCTAAAATCCTTGATCTCGCGGGCTAAAATCCTTGATTTTGCGATTGAATATGTGGGGTTTTTAAATGATTTTATGCTGTGAAATTGCAGAAAGTTGCGGAAAGTTGCGAATTATGCGACAAGTTGTGAATTATGCAAAGTTGCAAAGTATGCAGGGAAAAAAACAAAAGATTATTCTCCCACGCCCTGTAACAAGGCTACTACTGAATGAAAAAGAGCCATTTTAAAGCATTTATTTGAGTCATTATGCTATTTCTCTCTCTCTCTTTCGCTCTCTCTCTCTCTCTCTCTCACACACACACACACACACACACACACACACCTAACTGTTAAATAATTTTGACCTATTCAGTTACGATTCAGTATGACATGTACAGTTAAAGCATAATTCAATCATTAGGCTATTTTCATGCCCCTCTCTCTCTCTCTCTCTCTCTCTCTCTCTCTCTCACACACACACACACACACACACACACACACACACACACACACACTTCTTGGTCTCATTCTGTTTCATTTGTTCTTTACTTGACCAGTTTCAAGCTTGTATGCTACTCACCTCGTTTCTTGCAGCCCTCGCAAGGGTTTTGGAGGTTGATGCCTCGGTGAATGTCAGCTGTCTGGCTTTGGCTTTCCTTTCTGCAGCTGCAGAAAGCATTTTCAAATGTTTCGCCCTGGCAAAGTGGCTCGTCACCGAGGATTTTCTTTTATGCTCCAACACACAGTTGCAGGGGGTGCAGAATAGTTTCACCCCGCTTTCGTGCAAGACACCAGGGTACTGGTTTGCCCAGTCTTTGGCAGTAATGTGCGTCGGTAGATGAGATTGATTACTGGTAGCTCTCTTCATTTTAGTATGTTCCATATGTGGTGTTCCATCAACCCACATGCTCACGGTCCGGTGTTGTTTTGTGTGTATAGGCGCAAGTCAATGAAGTTACAAGTTTTGACTTTTTTTCCCCCTCTCCACAACTTTATGTAGAAAAGTACGGGGATTGTAAAATCAAGCGAGTCCCGCATATTTTGCATATTTTGCATATTTTGCATGGAAAAATGTGATTATCGCGGTGAATATGCAGCCTTTTTGAAAAATATTGAACCCAGCAATAATCAGCTGTATTTGGCTGATTTTGCAATGAAATCAGCAATCGCAAAATAGCGATTTCCTGGAGGCTCTACGTAACAACCCTAAGCCACTTTGTAAGTACTGTTAAAAAAAAAAAAATGAAAAATGCACAAACAAGAAATAAATTGAGAAGCACATGTAAAGCTGGTTACTACAGGTGTGCTTCTGCTCATGAATGTGTCCTTTTTCACATAACATGAGCCAGCCAAAAAATACTGTATTTATGGAGTATATGGTTAGATGCCAGTGTTCTAGTTTAATGGGTGACCCTGTGAACTGGTGACTTTTGGCCTTGTACTACGTCACACACAGAAGCTTTGACTTAAAGTTAGCGGTACACAAACAAGTGGCCACTACCCAAACCATAACAGCAGTGGTCCCTTTGACCATCGTGCCTCAGTCCAGTGGCAGGATGAGAAATTTAACTTGTGTCGCAGTTTTTCCATTTAAAAAAAAAGGAACAAACAAAAGATCAGAAAAAAAGGTTTGAAAAAAATTCTATGTCTATTTTAAAGCTAATAATGCATTGACATCTGGGCTGTTTTCAGGAATAGAAGTAAATGCAGATAGATGCTGCACTCAGGGCTGCGATTGGCCCTAACTCAAAAACTCCAAACTCTCACACCTCTCTTGGTCTGAGGTTGTCTGGTGATGTAAATGCGCCCCAGTCTGGAGTCTGTGCTCCTGCTCCGCAGTGTCCAGTGAAGCTGCCTTTTCACCGAGCTTTCCTTGCCCTCCTTTCACACAGGTCAGGGAATAAAAACAGTAAATTGTTGCATCAAAACATGAATTCCTCTGGCTTTGATTTTAAGTGCTTTAAAGAATCACAAGACCATGTGCTTTTGCTGACACTCAAACTTCTGGTTTGACGTTTTGCTCCTTTAGAACCAGTTTTTTTCTTTCACTCAGAAGAAACTAGGAGTGAGGACTCTGGCTGGTAGTTTAATGATGACTAATGATGTTGCTCCCTGAGGCAGTATTGATGAAGACTTGAAAATATTTGCAAGTTTGTCATTTCTAAGATCTGTGTTTGGGTCTTTCAAGCAAATAGCCCTCTGAAGTTTTCATCATCTATATAGTAGATTCTTTCTTGTCAGCTTGCACAGGAGTTTCTAAAGCTGTTAACATGAGATTTGGAATTTTTTTTTTTTATTATTATTATGCGTATTTACAACTTTAAAGGTTATACAAACAAATCCCACACACATACAGGACAGAAACACACTCCAGAAAGAAAAAAAAAAGGGAGGGGGTGCAAGAATGTTATTCATTGTTAATAAAAAAAAGGGGAAAGGGGAAAAAAAAGGAATAAAGAAGAATTTGAATTAGGGTGTTGTAGATAAAAAATCACAGTGGCCAACCAAATTTTTGTCAAAATCTTTTGGCATCTTTTTTCTTCCTGCTAAAAGAGGAAAAAAGAGCAAATCTGTGGATTTAGATGCAGCGGGTATGTACTCCGACTCACATTTTGCTTCTAGCTAGATATGATGAACAACACTTGGATAATAAGGTTTTTGCATTCTGCATTTAATACAGGTTTTTTCTTTTCTTGGCAGGAATGCTGAATTGGTGGTTTAGCCAGAACAGTGACAGTGACCCAAAATTAACAAAACCAGCACTCTGACCCTAAAGCAACATCAATTTGTCAATCTTTAAACACTGAATATTTAATCCTCGGATTTTCTTGAAACATGGATGGAAAAAGAAAAACATACAGGCACGCTTTACCACTTGTTGTATTCCTTAGTTTCAGTAAAACATCCTAAACACACATTGACAAGTTTCAAAGTATAGGATTAACTCAGTCAAGTAGCTGTGACATAATCATAGTGTTCAGCGCATCAACAGTATGTAAACTTTGGTATATTGGAGCTGGCATTCTTCACGACGCCAGGCTGAACAGAAATACCATCAACGAGAAAAGCACTCGGAGAGCGCAGACCTCTGCCAAGCAGCTCATGTCTCCCTTATATTGTGATTCACACCCAAACTTTTACTGTTACGTGTCTTTTATTAACTTTTATTTGTGTTTAAACTGGTATGTTCACTGTTCATAATGTTCCTAAAACAAGAAATGCCCTGACCGGGACTTGAACCCAGGACCTTCTTGCTGTGAGGCAACAGTGCTAAGCACTACACCACTGTCCCACCCATCTACACCACTGTGCCACCCATTGGTTATCTTTCAGCATTGAAAATTCCAACGACACCCTTATTTTTGTGTGTTCTGGATCACAGTATCCAGAATTTTGTCTGGATCAGGATCAACCTTTGACACCTCATAAAACTCATTGAGATCATTTTGTGTCATTTTTTTTTACTAAAGACTCTGGACATTTTTATAGAGTTAAATGCAAAAATTCCCAAATTTGCCCTATCTCACAATGATAAAGAATCCTTCAAAAATTTCTGGATCCAGAAGGCGATCCGGATCACCACCAAAATGTAATGGGATCCTCCTGGGGCTGAGACGCACCTCTGGTGAAAATTTCAGGTCAATCCATCTGTTACTTTCTCTGTAAAGTTGTTCACAGACAAACAAACAAGCAAACAAACCAACAACCAAACAAACCAACACTACCGAAAACATCATCTCCTTGGCAGAGGTAAAAATACTCTTGAAGAGGTTCTGCTCACCTTCTGGGAAATTGCTCAGTGTGATTTTTTATCAAATATGTATGCAGGCTGATGTTCAAACTTCACCATGAACTAAACTGTTCAGTTCAATGTTTATTTGTCCCCCAAGAAGGGGGAAATATCTGTAGTCATGGGTGTGTTGCTAAACATGGATTTGCGTGTATCTGTGCCACCTACAAGACTTTTCTGGATGGTATTTGCTGGGTCAACAGTGGTATTGAAGGGAAAGGATCAAAGTGTAGAGTTAAAACGCTTTGATATGCTCACAGTGTCTACTTACTGAGAATTTATTATGTACATACACTTTAAGTAGGAGTGGGAGAAAAAAATCGATACAGCATAGTATTGCGATATTTTGTCTGGTGATATATTGTATCGTCTCATTACCAAGTATCGATTTTTCAAATTAATTGCTAATATGAAGTCAAATCTATGATAGAAAAATAAAATCAACTGTATGTCCAGTTTGAGGTTGGCAGAGGTGACATCTTAGAGCAGGTTAGTGGAACAAATACTGTTTACATAAGGTTTGCAATATGTCCTACATGAAAATTAAATACAACGTAAATAAGACAAACACAAGGGAAAGCCAAATGCTAAATTAGCGAAACAGTTGAAAAAATTGTAGAAATCTCAATATATTGCATCACAATACTCACTGTATTGCAAATGTTAAAAACGTAATAATATCCTATTGTGGCCCAAGTATGGTGATAATATCGTACCGTGGTGCCACTGGTGATTCCCACCCCTAGTTTTAAGTCCCATGAGTTTTCTGTAGTCTCACTGCGGTGATAATTTAAGCTCTTCATTGCTGCACAGCATCACTTTTTTGTAGAGCGTAGCATGAACATTCAACAGAAAGACACTCTGCACACAAACCCCTAAGTATACAGAAAATATGATAGTTAACTTCCTATTTCATGTACAAATTTTACCAAGTTGGAAAAGCTGCTCATTAAAAAGACTTACAAAACACAGAGAGAGCCTGCTGAGAGCTGCAGGGTGGTAATTGTATTTCTAGATTGTATTTCTAGAAAGCAGCATCTGCGTGTTGCATTTTTATCCCCTCAAAAGGTGCACCAGCAAAAACAGAGATCTCAAAATCAAAAAGCTTGTTGAAAGTGCCAAATAAACACACAGAGCTGACCTACATAAAGTCTTCTGGCCTGCACAGATGTGCCAGATTCTAATAATGAGAGTGTCTGCTGCAGGAAAAGGATTTTTTTCCACTTAGAATGGAAGACATGTTACACGGAAATTTGAGATCCCACCTCAGAGCTGTTGGCAGTCGGCAGCTGGTTGTGGGCAGTAATTTTTACTTTTACTGTTTATACAGTGTTCATTAAAAAGTAGCACCACAGTAATCCCCTGGGGTTAATATCGCTCTATTGCTGATGCTCTTGTCACACAAACATCATTGTATAAACAGAACCTCTATTGTTAGGCTCAATGTATTTGCTGCTTTAACTTGGCGCTGCTGAGTGTCAATCCTGTTGACAGTGACCAGGTTCTTTGTGTGGGCTTTACATTAAAGATAATGTGTTGTACCTGTTATACAGTGGACCATAACAGGCTGTTCGAGTACATTTACATACACAGTTAGGCTGCGTTCCAGTTGTACTCGGAAGTCAGGATTCCTGAGCTACAAGTCGGAAATTCATCTGGAACGCCCCCTGAAGTCGGATTTCCGACTCAGAAAGTCGGACGATGCTCACCAACCCCGACTTGAAGACGTCATCATTCAAGATGGCAGCGCAGTGCATCAACAGTAAAGAGTAACAGTGAAAGCTCTTGTAATGTATTATTTATAAGCACTTCTGTTTTGTTTTTGTGAAATTAAACAAGTGGTTTATGTTGTACTGCCCAACGTCTAACTGTTAACACAGTGCTATGGTGTTCGTAAGAGTAAAATACTGTGTTATGCGTTGTTTACAACTGGTATAGCTAACAACAACTGACAACAGCTGACAATGGCTAACAACAGCTGACAACCGCTAACAGTAGACGTCCATTTTGTTTTTTCGACTTGTTTACTGAAATGCCGTCAACCCGGTTGTAATTTCATTCCCAGTTCCGACATCTGACTTGATCTAACTGGACTACTGTCCTTGTACCAGTTTGCATGCACTGTGCAAAAATTGCATTATTGATACCAACACGTCCAACTCTGTGACAGTAGGTGGCCACATGTCGTCTTTCAGTTCATTACAATCAGGTCGTCTCCTAGTTGGCGTTGGATTTGTCAAAGCAGTCAGCAAAACGTGTAAAATGATTTATGTAAAACAGTAAAAACAGCCACTGTTACAGCACTGTACTGTTTGTTTGTATGATAGTAAAGTTTTGTCATATTTTGTCCCTTCTTTGTCTGTTCGCGTTTTGTTAACTCTCTGGCCCAAGATCATGTGACTCTACCTCCCTTGAGTTACACCGTTGTTCAGAACAGTTTGATTCATAAAGGTCTGCGCTGTGCATCCTCCCCCTGACTGACCCCAGAGCTAGTGCAACACATTCCTAAAACTTCCCATCGAGGTAAACTACTACGGAGACAGGGGGTGTCAGGGTGACACTGGAATACAGATGATTAATTGTGTCTATCTGTCGTGATGTCTATGTCCATTGGATCAAAAGATGGGTCTGGAAATAAATTGGAGAGGAGAAAAACTCTGTAGAGATTGAAAAGGACTGAAAGAGATGAGAGGCGAAACACATTGGGCTAACAAAGGAAATCTTATGATTACGTAAAAAGTGAGAAAAGTGGAAAAACATGACATGAGGAAAAAAGAAGACATGAAGACGAAGAAGCAGTCAAAGAAAAAGAAAGGAGTATCATTGTCATGTCCAGACAGAGGAGCAGACGGGAATTAGATGTCATCATGTCGTCAGAACTGACGACAGGCATCTTAAATGTACATATCTTGAGATAGATTCTCTTCTCCTCCTTTTTTGTCCCCTTTCAATCTTTTCCTGCAGTTACACCTTTTTTTCTCTCACCTTTTGACTATTCTGACTCTCTCTCTCTCTCTCTCTCTCTCTCTCTCTCTCTCTTGATCCTTCTCACTCACTCTTCAGGCCTCTGCTATTCTGGCTCTCTCTCCTTTACTCAGCCAGTTAATTGGTGCTTATGCATTAATGAATGCAGATCGATTGAGGCCTGACAAGATGCGCAGCCCTATTATCATGCTTTCATATTTATGGCTGGTAATTGTAAGGGTGTAGCTGATGGTGTGTGTGTGTGTGTGTGTGTGTGTGTGTGTGTGTGTGGTCCTGAAAGGAGGTAGCAGACAGCTGCACACGAGCAAAACCTCCACATGCTCTTTAGTCACACAGGTGTGTGTGTGTAGGTGTGTGTTTTTTTTGTGTGGTGACCACAGTCTCATCCTTTCAAAGCCACTGTCACAGCTTTATTAGAGCCATTCATCACTGGGACACACCACACACTGACCTGCTGTGGCTCTGTGTGTGTCTGAGCAACACAGAAAGACAGACAGGGAGTAAAAGTAGACAGACAGAGAATTATTTCAGCACTTTTTACACTTGCAGTTTTCTATAAATGCTCACTATTTTTACAAGTTGTCATCATGTTGGAAAATAATGTCGTTTTCCGGCAATTTCGACATCACTTTGGTTTGAATTAAAGCTGTCATGATGGGGGAAAAAGGATAATAGACCCTTAGCAAGCGGCAGAAAGTTATAAAAGCTGTGTTTTTACAACAGAAATCATTCCACCTCTGATGGATGACTTGAATGAACAGTATTTAACTAGACTCAGGTTCAAACATAAAAATAGTTTTACCTGCTCCCTACTGATGCAGCCTTGCTGTCTTGGAGATAGCTACAGTACCTTGTCTTCTTACATCCAGTCTTTGTTTAAAATAGAAACAGCCAAAAATTAAAGTTATCAGGGGCTGAAGTGGACATGTTGACTTGACGGCACTGGTGCACCACAACTAAAGATGGATATGTAATGAGATCTCAATTTTGTTTATGATTATGACCCCAATAATTGTGAAAATATGATAATCCAGACTGAACAATATTCAGCTGTCTACTGTGATGCCCCCATGATGTCCTTCACATTAGACATACATTGAACTTAAACGTAGTGCAATAGTGGAACAAACTATCTGGCGACCATAGGCAGAGAGAGGAGCGCAGGGAGAGGAGCCGGGGACATGTGTGTGTGTGCGTGTGTGTGTCAGGGACAGAATGAGCACTGCAAGAGAGAGGCTGTAGCAACCAACAGCGCGCAAGAATGCTATCAAGCTAACAACTGCTTATTAAAGGGGATGTAGACAGCCGTACTACCGCCTCTTTTATGTTGCCAAAGGAAATGTGGAATAAAAGCAAAAATATCTATCGACAGAGGTCCTGCATACATTTTCTTTTTCCTTTAGAAAAGTTGTAATTCTCTGTATTATACTGAGAGAAAATTTCGAGGTCAATGGAATGAACAAACGGAAATAAAGAAAACAGTGAGGGGCTTTAACCAAGCACATTTGACTTATTAAATGGAGCACAATGTAGTTTGTCCGAGTGGACTTGCCGTCGTGTGACATCTTAAACGGGCACTGGGCCCCAAGCAGATCTGGCAGCCCGAACACATCTGGTACCTACATCGGGTTTAAAAGTAAGAGATGTTCGAATTGTGATGAAGTCTTGATGTTGTAAAGGGTGTTGAAGCTTGAAAAGATAGAATGATGTGTTAGATCTGCAGCTGTGTAAGCGGGAAAGTCAAATTGTTTAACTTTTTATGTCAAAGTGAAAAACACATTGTTACAAGTAAAGTCTGGCATTTAATCAGGTCAGTATTGCCAAAGTTAAGCCAGAACTCATGAATGAAATAAAGAATTGATGCATGGTCCCTTCAGTGCTATCACTTTTTTAAAATAAAATCATTTGGTTGAGCAGCTCTAACCTGACTACAATAAACATTGTGCCATTTTCAGAGCAGAGCCATTTGAAAACTTTAAAAACTGTGAGCCCGCTTTGACACAATGACCAACTCCAGGGATTACATTTATCTGAATGATAGGCAGCCAACAAAAGAAATCTCTCCTCTTTCACATCATCCTTTCTTTTCATCTCTCCTGATTTTATGCTAGTTAGCTCTTTTTCACAAAGCAGTAAAGCACAGGAAAGGGACATTTTAAAGGCTCATATTTTTCAACCTAAATCAGCATTGAAAATTGAGAATTTCAAGCTGAACTGGTGGCATAAGCATTGGGTTAATGATGGTGGTTGATTGGTAAAGCCTGCTGAGGGCACAAGTAGCTCTTAAATGACGTCATAATACTGCATCTCTGAGCAGGTATTACCAATAAACCACTGGTCACTTTATCAGCCAACAGTTTAAAACTAAAAAGAAAAAAAGGCACACCAAAAGAATATTTGCACCACCATAGATGCTTCTGCCCCGTCAACTTTGCAACTTTACACAAAACAGACCTTTATGTGAAATCCAGAAAGCCATTTGAAAGATCAGCTGCTGTAACAGCTGCTTAAAAAAGCAGGACAACAAAAGAAGATGTTAAAACAATTTCAGTGGAGAAAAGAGGATATATGGGCAGTGTGTTATGTACAGCCCAGGAGGGAAATCCGTGGGAGGGGGTAAGCTTTCTACATGAGTGACCTGGCTGAGCGTTTGGGATGTGGTGAGGGTGGGTTTTGTCTGCATGCTTGTGTGTGTGTGTGCTTGTGTGTTTGAGGGTAACAGAGTGATGTAGCCATGCTGGGTTGTCTTTGTCTGCTTTCTCTGTCTCTGTTTGAGAGCATTACATGCACACTGGACAGGAACCATGTCTCCTCCCCCTATCTCCCTGTCTCCCTTATCTGTCTATCTTTCTCTCCCTCTGGTGGGAGATCTCCCCTCTTTTTTTTTTTTTTTGGTATCTATTTTTAGTGCGTCCCTTTACTTGCACTTATTTGTCCGTCCATTTATGCCAGTGTCTGCTTTCCCTGACTCTTCTGTCTCCTCACTTCCTTCAAATGATCTGGAGGTTAATGAGGCTAACTACAAGTCTGGCTGCACCTCTCTACATGTAATGTTCCATTTAGCCCAAGTGTCTGTCATCTTTGTGCGAGTTTAGCTTGTGGTATTGGGTTTGGGTGAAAATACTTTCTTTGGACATGCTTTCTGCGCAAGAGACAGAGGTAACAATTGAGAATGTAAATGTACTGTATATTTGCATAAAATGTGAACCTTTTTTTCTCCATAACTAGTTGAATTTAGTACCCATTATTTATCAGGTTTTAACAATTTTATAGACTATAAATACTCCATTTAACACATTTTACAGAGCCTCTCTCTCTCTATCTTCAACAAACCTGTTATATTTCCTCTGAAAATGTGGTAATTTTAATTATGGAGTTTCTTTTTCTTTACTCACCTCTGAAGTGTGACTGTGAGAAACATGTCTTGACTCAAATTGTGTCTAATACCTCTTAAGCTATTATCCTTACTTGCATCTTTACCTCCGCCGAGGAGGTTATGTTTTCGGTAGCGTTGGTTTGTTTGTTTGTCTGTCACCAACTTTACGGAGAAAATAACAGATGGATTGACCTGAAATTTTTACCAGAGGTGCGTCTCAGCCCCAGGAGGATCCCATTACATTTTGGTGGTGATCCAGATCGCCTTCTGGATCCAGGAATTTTTTTGAAGGATTCTTTATCATTGTGAGATAGGGAAAATTTTGGGATTTTTGCATTTAACTCTATAAAAATGGCCAGAGTCTTTAGTAAAAAATGACACAAAAGGATCTCAATGAGTTTTATGAAGTGTCAAAGGTTGATCCTGATCCAGACAAAATTCTGGATACTGTGATCCAGAACACACAAAAATAAGGGTGTTGTTGGAATTTTCAACGCTGAAAGATAACCAATGGGCGGCACAGTGGTGTAGATGGGTGGCACAGTGGTGTAGTGGTTAGCACTGTCGCCTCACAGCAAAAAGGTCCTGGGTTTGAATCCGGGTCAGGGCATTTCTTGTTTTAGGAACATTATGAACAGTGAACATACCAGTTTAAACACAAATAAAAGTTAATAAAAGACACGTAACAGTAAAAGTTTTGGTGTGAATCACAATATAAGGGGGGAAATGAGCTGCTTGGCGGAGGTCTGCGCTCTCCGAGTGCTTTTCTAGTTTTCTACTTGTGTTAGTCTCTCACCAGAGATGTATGGTGAGATGCAAGGAAGCAAGGTGAGGGGAGAAGGATTTAGGAAACATGCTTTTAAAGAGACATGCATGTCTTGCCCCAAAGAGTCATGTGTTAAAACATCTATTCATAGTCACAGATCAGCTGTTTGCATCTGCACATGTGCACTGTATTGATTATCATAAAATACACACAGTCACAGTTTTACAGTATTTCTCCGTTATTTATCAAACAAAAGCGCATGAAGACAAAACTGAAGTCAGTTTCTCTAATCCTGTTTTGTAACATGTGCACCATTTCTACCATAACTATGCGTTATGACTGAGTTGTTTATTCTTTGTATGTATTTGCATGTACTATTTAGCTGATTGTGAACTCAGTTTTATACAAACACACAGATACACACACTAATGATGTCTGAGGAGTCCTAGAAATTTTAATTCAATATGCTAATTAGTTCCAGGGACAGTAGAAATAACGGATCACTTCTCAAAACTGACACTCATTTCTAGGAAATTTAATGACTTGATAAGTATAGTGTCTGACAGATAGACATCTACTCGCACTGTTTTTATATCTCTTCATAATCAAACTGAACAAGAGAAACACCTGATCATATGAGATGAAATGACTATAATACTTATTAATGACACTGTATGACTATGATTCAGACAACTTATTGGGAGGTGATGTCCTGCCATACTGATTTCTTAGAGCTAATATTTTGTTCTTGATATGTTGAACATTTCTAACTCCAGTTTATCAGTTTATGATCTGTTTCAAAGCACCACTCTGAGTTTGTTTTTAGCTCCTTATTTCACCATTATTAAACTCTGGGATTGTGGAAAGGCTTCTTGTTTGTCTTCTTGCTTGTGGCTTCTCAGAATTCTCTCCTCAATCTTCTCTCCTTCACGCAGCAGAAAAGACCAAAAATCCTCAACACTGCAGTCAAAACTGCTTCTGGTCCAATAGAGGAGCAAGAAGTGAGAAAACATATTTTGACAGTGTTAGGACTCAGGGAGTGACTGTAAGCAGGCCGAGACTTCAATGTCAGGTTTTCTGATTCCAGCCGAATAAAGTTGCCTCATCTACTACAGAGACTCTTGTTATCATGTTGTAATTAAAAGATATTGACTCTTATGAAGCCGTCATTTTGCTCTAAAAATGTGAGCGACTGATTAATTCGATCATTCAAAAAACTGATGAGTTCATTTGATGTGCTTTTTCATTTATCAGGACTATTTTCAGATGATTTGAGAGGAGAGATTATTGGTTTAATGAAAAGTGTCCATGAACTAAAATCTCTACTGTGACACCTCCATCAGTTTAATCTTTTATGTTTCATGTTAAGTAAAGACTATTCTTCCAGTCTATTTCCTTAAATGCTTCTCCAAGAACAGTTTGAAACTCTCTGACTTTGGTGACCTCTCCTCCTCGATGAGCGGTGTTTTATGTCACTGTGTGAATTGTGACAAGTCGCCTGTGCTGGACTGAAGAGAGAAGATGAATGTGGCTCAGAAAAGGGAGTAAAAACTGTCCAAGTGGAAAGTTTCAAACTGAAATTACACAGCTGAAGAGGAGTTGTATTTTTCCTGCAGCTCAGGATTCATTTAGTAGAAGTCAAGTTCTGGTCAAACAGCCAAAATACTTTTCACTCATCTGATGAAGGCTGATGTCCCTTTGTAACCCTCAACCTACATAGTAGGGCAGCACTGATCTAATCCTGATAGTGGATATCAGTTTGATTCTGACTCTCATAGCTAGATACAGTATGAATGTAAATGAGATCCATGGGGCTGATCTATTCAATGCAGTTCTGTGTTTATGTCCATCATTTATGCATACTTAATCATGTGCCATCAGCATGCAAGTCGGCCTTTGCATTTTGCTAAGTGTAAATAGCATAGCCTGAAGGTAGATATACAGAAAAGGCTAGGTGGTTTGGATCTACTGTATTTTCTGCTAGTTGCACCAATACTGTCAAACAGCTTCTTACAGTATCTGCATGGTTAATGTTTTCAGGGGTGGTTGTTGCATAACAACGTCAAGTCACATATCCTCAAGTGTTGAAATGTGAAGCCAATGCAGAAGTGCAAAAAAGGGAGTTCCTTGAGTGTCCACTTGAGGCTGGCTGCAGAAGTCAAGAAACTCCCACTAACACCCTTCATAAAATACTGATTTTCAGCTAAATTAAGTCTTCACAGCCAGGTCATAAAAAAGTGCTTACATGTTTGAGTGGATTGATTCTTTTATAATTAATTTTCTCAGGAGATATTCTAAAAATGTGCATAATGAGGGGCTTTGCTGAGTTGTCTTACAGGTGGACACAATGTAACTGTGAGCCAGCCTGTCTCACCCCCACCCTGACTAAAGTTTGTTTACCACTCTTTTCATTGTCTCTGTGTAGTTATGAAAAACCTGTATGTCAGCGTAAACTTCTCTTCAGGGTATTTATTGACAAAGGTTACATTACTGAATGTTCGTAACAACAAATATGGAGCTCTGGTGTTGGCCTGTTCTCATGTTTAACTATAAATTGGTTGGACAAAAGTTGCAAGCTGCACAGTGCAGCCAAAGGTCAAACTTACTGGTGACTTGATTTAGACTACAATCAATAAAACACTGTATCTTACGGCAAGTCATTTTAAAAGCAGTTATAGCAGCGTAGAAAAAGAAAAAAAAAATGGAAAAATGTCTCAGGTTGCTTTGCAAACACAATCAGCTCATATTTTAAATTTTAAGGTCATAGCAAGGCATTAGTGATATCATTGGAGGTTGTAGAAAGACAGTCAACATTTTAACAGGTTTATTTACTTCATATTGTTTACAGGTCAAAACAAGCCTGATGAAGCTTTACACATGCATGATTCCAAGGCTGTGTCCCAACCGCAATTAGTCCAGATTCTGGTGGACTAATGCTAGGGCTGGGTGACAAACCAAAAATTTACCGATACCAAAATTGACAACAATAACCAACGTCATTTTACCCATGTTGATATATTTGGTATCAAAAAATAAATAAATAAGTTGGTTTTGGATGTGTGTAGGTAGGCTATGGTCTCATGTCCCTTTAAGATGCTGTCCTACATCAGAGACGTGACTCCACCCCATCCAGTCCATAACAAAGAGGGTGAAAAAGGTGAGGAGATGGAGGACGGTTCAAACGTTGTAGCGGCTGGAGCGGCGGCTGAAGTAGACGAAGTTAATGTGGGAGGGGGTGAGCAGCTTGTGGAGTAGTTATCATCCCTTTATCGTTATCGAAGTAAACTGCTCAATATATTATGATATTGATTTGAGGCCATATTGCCCAGCCCTAGATAATGCCATGAATAGATTTTTTTTAACAAGATATGAAAGTATTGACGGTATTATTTAGCTATTAAAGATTCTGTCGCCAAGTAACGTGGGAGGGGTTTAACTGTGAAAGATGCACGTCTTTGGCCTGGGTAAAGTATTGGAGGTGCTGTTGAAGTAGGACAGCCTCCAATTCACTACAGTAATGTGCTCACAGAGGCAGTTACATGTTACTGAATTAACACTAGTGTTGATTTTGTGCTCTGTATTAGTGGTCAGAATAATCAAAATCCAGGCATTGGTATCAGCAGCAGGGCTTAAAAAGTTGGATCAGTGCAAGTCTACCATGAGGAGATGAGAATACAAACTCTGTTAGTGAATGTGTTTCAAGCCTAACTTAATAAATTTTTCAACATTTTTTTTAATATGTAGTCTGCCATGACCTCTGCTTTTGATAATTATGAAAAATTGTCTAAGTATGGTCCGAGTGTTCTCAACAAATTCATGGTCTGTCTGTTCAGTGCACACACACACACACACACACACACACACACACACACACACACACACACACACACACACAAAGTCTGTCTGTGTCACTATGTTCAGTTGGCAATTAAGAGAAGTGCCTGGCCAAGAGAGCTCTTGACTCTGACAGGCTCTCCATCTCTTTTGCGCGCGCGCACACACACACACACACACACACACACACACACACACACACACACACACACACACACACACACACACACACACACACACACACAATTTTCTCTCCCAACCATCAGGTAGAATGAGGTGGATAAGTGTATAATTATGGGATGTTTATGACTGTGTTAGCAACAATTTTACAATTACTGACTTCCTGGATGTGCAGATATTTTTTTAGACAGCTGTAAAGTGCAGGTGTGAATATTGGTCAGAAAAACAGCTGAACTTGAAAACTCTATCTGATCTGTAAATTATGCAAACACACAACAAACATGCTATTTTGTGTTGCAGCTCTCTGAGTTACATGATAAGTGAGGATAGAAGAGTGAACAGTTCAGGAAGTGAAGAGGGTGAAGGCATTAAAATCAACATGTTGTCCATGTCCATCCATTTTAGCAGAATGAGAGCTCCTTACAGTGTGTTTACATAAAAGATCCATCTTGGCAACAGTGTTACAACTTCATAATCATCTAATGTCCCAAATAACATGCTGTACATCTAGAATAAATACAAGAACGGAAAATATGGAGCCCAAGTGAAGTCAAACTGCTTTATTACTGGTGAACAGAGATGAAGACCAGATACTGAATTGATTGATATGGGAAAGCAGTATCAGCCAATATCAGGTAGTCATGGTAAATTTACGGTAGCCGGAGGGATCATATTCTGGGAAACGTGCTTCTGTGACAAGATAAGTCACAAATTCACCTTTTAGAATTGTATTATGTAAATTTAGGAGGGAAAGGGAATGTATAACTGCATCGCGGTCATTAACAAAAACATTAAATGAGTTAAGCTATGACCTCTGATATCCCAGCTTGCTGGTCCCTGCTGTTAGCCATACAGCCATGTCAGCATTCGACAAAGTTTCAGTCACACAGTCAGTATCAGGGTCATGTGTAGATTTTTACTTCTTTTGTGGGGATTGTTTCAAACTGCACTCGAAACCTTAGTATTTATAACTTTGCATTAAGGAACACTTTGAAATTATGTGTATTAGAAGATGAGAGCTAATCGAGTTGTAATATAATGCTAGAGACGGTCACCTTTTCAACACTAACATGCAGTTATTTTGAAAAGTTTAGGACAAAGAAATGTTCAGGGACACAGTGTTAATGTTAGCAAAAAAACATCCTTAAAATTTTTTTTATCAACAGGCTGTCTTTGTCAACCTGCTTTTTTCTTGACAAACATCAGCTAAAAGACATATCTGATCTTGTCACCAAGACAATGATGATACAGAAATGTCCTAAGTGGACTGGTAGCCAGAGAGAAGTAAAAATCCTATCTGCTCCATGGATCCTTTTCATTTTCTTTCATTAACTTTCCTGATGCAACAAAGACACAACCAGCTACAGAGGCGATGTGAGCTTAATTGTTTTTTGCATCTTTTACCATTAATAACTTTGTGTCTAAACCTCAATTTATCCTAGTTCTGGTTAGTGCTGTGTCGTTCGCAAATGATTTGTTCAAAGGAATGAATCTTTTGAATGAATGTACTGAACCAAATCACTTCCTCGAGTGATTTGTTTGTTTCTCAGCTCAGTTGAGCTGTCAGCAGCGCAGTTGCATTGCCAGGCGAGCAATGGCAACACATATGAATGGAAGAAAACATTATAATAAAAAAAAAAAAAAGAAAAAAAATGCCAGGGAATGGTGCTTAGTCATTGTGAATCCTTCATTAAATTTACCGAGGGGTATACGTTTAGTGAACAAATCACTCACTGAGCCCAATTTACCAAGTAGACCAGATAAATAGCATACCATAGCATACCAACAGTACACTTAAATCATCATGATTTAGAGCAAGTTCATTTTCACAAACGTGTTTGTCAAAGCAGCACAGCCACAACACTCTCATCTCCGGTCCCAAAAGCCATGATCTAAACTGAAACCTGAACCGTTCAGCTTTTTATCAGTTTAGGAAGTCAGAGTCACAGGCTCCTCTGAATGATTTGCTGATTTGGTGAATGAATCTTATGAAGGAATCCTTTTAGTACACTGATTTTAGTTATTCAGTGCATCTAAAGAACTGCCCTGCCCATCACTAGTTCTGGTTTGCGTTGGGGATCATTCTGTAGTTATGTCTGACTCTGCACCATTGAGGATGAGGATGTAGCTGGGTGAAAGACAAAGCTTTCTGTCTCGTGTGCTTGCCCAGGATGTTTTTTGGGGTTGAGCCCAAACAGACCTGATTTATCCCTTTTTTCAACCAAATTTCACAGTAGAAATCCAGGTTGGTGCTCATTGGGCAATTCAATGATTTTAGCAGTTTAATCAGGCAGAAACAAATCATGTTGTCATCGCAGATCAGAAATAGAAGTTTAGAAATGATGGGTTCTTTGAGCAAATGCTGCCAAACTTAGGGGTGGACTATGCCAGGGACAGCTCAGTGTGTAGTTCAGTGCCGTCAGATAACCTTTGCCACATGCTTACACTGTTTATTAGTTTAATGATTGATTGATGGGTCAGTTGATAACCTTGTATCACACAATTCAGCCTCTATAAATTACACTGTTCTTGTATTATTTTGTATTACAATAGAGCAATAAGGTTGTGAAGGAAGGTGGTGGGGCACTTCTCCCACAGTTGGGGGAAGAAGGCAGAAATAACTGAAGCGCAGAGGGAGCTTAAACTTCATCACTGATTGGCCAACAAGATGGGGGTCCAAAGAAATGATAATTGCCAGAAAGAACAATTTATGTATAATAAATCTGATATTGCTTACTATAATACAGATAGATTTGTTTGTGTTTGTTGAGAAATACATTAGAAGAGGACCTTGAAAAAATAATCATATATTAGATCACAAAAAATCACAGTGAGATTATTTTCCCAAATTGTTCAGCCCTAATTTTCAGGGCTGATTTACAGAGCTGGGACTCACAAATAATCACATACTCTCTCTCTTCCCCATTGTAAACCATCATCATGTAGTGAAAGTTATTTAGAGTTTACCATCACCCCTGCTGGCCCTGTAGCGCTCACATTCTACATCCTTTCTCCGGCCTTACCAAAGCAGAGTTTGTTCAAAAGACGGCTGTAATCTCACAGGTTTGATAAAGTCTGATCCTGCATAAACAGACATCCCTCCACAGCTTGTGTTAGTTTGTTTTAACACTGTATGGGTTCCAGGGGGGAGCATAAAACCATTTCTTAGTGAAGCATAGGGGGAAACAAGCCCAGAGAGTGCTTGTGTTTCTGCTGTTTCTCAAAGCGGGCTGATGAAAGCTGCTGTCTGGTGTGTGTGTTGTTTGGTCTGGCGAGGGAGGAGACGCATCACTGACAGCTTCTTCTCTCTGTAAGATGTTATTCCCTGTTGAAACATTTGTTGAGTCAGAGACAGTGTGTGTCTGTTGTGTCTTTGTGTGAGTGAGTGTCTTTCTGTGTCATTGTAAAATCTCCTCTGAGTGGTAATTGAAAAAAAGGAGCACACATGCCTCAGATAATTTGCTGACTGCACAGCACAAAGCACAATTCAAGCACCTCCTCATAAAGCTGCTTCTTTTCTCCCTCTTCATTCACTGTTCCTCCTCTTTCTCTTCTCCCAGGTGAGCCTGATGCACAATGGCTGGCCAGTGATATCGGCGTTTGCCGGAGACCAGGACGTGACACGCGAGGCAGCCAGTAATGGTGTTCTGATTCAGATGGAGAAGGGAGACCGGGCCTACCTCAAACTGGAGAGAGGAAACCTCATGGGAGGATGGAAATACTCCACCTTCTCTGGCTTCCTGGTGTTCCCTATGTAGAGGAAGAGAAGGAGGAGGAGGAGGAGGAGGAGAAGGGGGTGGAGAAAAAAGGAGGAGGAGCTGGTGTGAGATGAGCAGTGCGCTGATGATGTAGGAGAAAAGGCAGATGGAGGAAGAAGAGGGGCATAAGGAAAAAGAAGAGGACTTTAACATGATGGCGGGAAAGGAGGAAACAGAAGAGGGATTGTGACAATAGACTCTGATTGGGACGCTGCAGGAGGAGGAGGAGGAGGGAAGGATGAGGGATGTTTGGAAGATGTAAGAGCATGGCACCAAACGGTTATACTAAGGTGAAATGAGAGTACATGAAAGTTTATAGCCAGCTTTTTGACTCTCCTCCTTTCATCCATCCTTTCATCCATCCTCCCTCTGTTTTCTCTGTGGCTTGACTGCAGCTTTGGACAGCTAAAACTTTTTTTATTCTCTGCTCAAAGACGCAATTGATCATTTCTATGTTCCAGAGTGTTCTAAAGCCCGAGTGTACTTCCCCTCCATTCTTCCACATTCATTCATTCAATCATTAATTCATCCATGTCCATCAACTTGAGCTTTGAAGAATGTTTCTTGAAGGACTGCTCCCGTCATTTCCATTCAACTCTGGCCATCTTTTTCAGGCTTGAGATAAAATGCACTGATTTCAGATCAGACTCCTCCCAAAGCCAAACAAGTATTTTATAAGAGGATACACAACTCTGATCTGAAAATCAAATGCAGGACACACATTTCATGTAGAGCTGTGTTTTGGTTGTCACAGTAACTAGCTTGGCTTTGAAATACTTGGTATTTGAAAGTCAGATTTGTTTCTCCATACCTCTAACTTTATTCCTCCTGCAACCATGGCATCCAGCTGTGACTGACAGTAACAGAAACAGAAAAATGACAGTGACATTAAAATAAAACTTTTGGTCTACTGATGTAAAATATCTCCAAGGAATTCCTTTTTTTAATAAGGGTAATAACTTTAAGATGGCTGTTTTTTCTTGGGATCTTGATGAGGACATAAAATCCTGAATGTATCGCTACAATATCTTACCATAGTAACAATAGCATCAGTCAGCAAATTACACGGTTAATGTAAAACAGTTTGATTTGTTCATAGAAAAACATTCAGAAAAAAAGTGACCTATAAAAACATTTTCAAATAACTCCACATGAGAGTCGGTCCTGGTCGCTGAGTAAAGTTGTGGGAAACCACCAAACATAGTCAGATTTTTCTGGATTCTCCTTCATCACTGCAGACAGTTTCTCTGAGCATCTAAAACAGGCGAGTACGCGTTCATGTCTCAGTTCCTGAAGGGTACCTTGTGTGCCTCTGTATGACAAAGTTTGAGTAATAGACAACCTGGGAATGAGGATGGACCACGTCAATGTCATAATTGGTCTGGATTCAAGTGTTCTGATCACATTATCAGCAAGTCTGAAGAATGGACACAACATTCAACCTTATCTGTGACTTCCCCCTTTCCCAAGTGTTTACTTTAGCTAAACCTGAACAAACCCTCACTGACATAGACTCTAGTCCCTACTGCAGTGATGCATGTTTCTGTCAGGCAAATGTTTAAACAATGAGGATTTATATGCCAGCTGTATCTAGGAGTAAAAAAAGGAACAAGACAACATAAAACTTCTCCATTGTGCTGAAGAGAGGAGCAGTCTAGGTTGCAACAACAACACAAAACCCGACTGACTTTTTTTAGGAACCAAATTCTGGTGCAGATAGATAGATAGCTCGATCCTTTATCCATCTCCAAGAGAAATTCACATGGGTGACAAGTCACAAAGAAAGTACTGGTATATGCCACTGTTGCTATCATCCAACAGACAAACACATAACTGATCTAACCAACCAGTCGTCCATCTTTTCTTTGTCTCCATCTTCCATCAGTCATCTCACCCTCCTCAGTCTCCCTCTGTCACTGCTGCTGTTTTCCAGATTTTTACACACACTGTCCCGTCCCTCCCTCCCTCCCTCCCTCCCCCCTGGTCAGGATCCTCTTCTGTCTTTGGCTATGCTGTTTACCCACAAGTGCAGATTTCTCTTGTTCTTTTTTTTTTTTTGTACAAGAGTGTTATCTCCCCACTCAACTCTCTTTCTTCCTTTCCTTGAAGGTCCATCCCTCTCTCCTTCCTCATGTCTGTACTTTATCTGCTGCTGAATTTGTTTGCCCCCCCAGCACGGATCCTTCCTTGCTTTTCTCAATGTTGGACTTTGGGACACCGAAACCAATCTACAACCATGAACTCTAAGCGAACATATATATATATATATATATATATATATATATATATATATATATATATATATATATATATATATATATATATATATACGCAGTATGTATACAAATGGATATATAAATATAACAAATCTAAGCCACCATTTCTATTCACTGGTATTATGATGACAATAATGATAACGCAAATATTGATAACTGAATCTGGTTGATGCCTATATTATCTGTATTTCCGTACTTCAGTGTTATATAAGAGAAAAATATTCTAAGAGAAACTTACTAGTGATTGTGTGTGGAAATCTGAGGCTGCTGTCCTTCTCTTCTGATTAAAAACTTGCTTCTTGTTTTTCGTTTTGAGTCAAACCGATGTGTGGCAAAAAGTTGAGACTACTTATTTAAAAACATACAGCTTAAGAGGACTTTTATTTTTTATATTATTATGATTATTATTATCATTATAATTATGATTATTATTATTATTAACAATCAAACCCAGTTACCTAAGTTTTTTTTTATTTGCTCTGATGAAATCAATAAAACTTAAATGGTACTTTTATTTTTCTTAAACCTACTTTAAGTCTGGCAGCTTCATTTGTTGACATTGAATTTACTTTTGAGAGCAGCTGGAAACAGACAACCCCCAGGTACGTTGATATGTTCTTGTACTTTAGTGGATCTTTGCACACTTACTCCCACACTTTTTATCTCTTTTTCCGATTCCTCTTTTTCCGCTCTTTATCTCTACAAATCAATTCAGTGACTGCTCCTTGTTTCCTTTCTTTCACTGTCTGTTTGCTTTTTCTCCTGGTCCCTTGAAACCTTTACTCACAGTCCTTCTTTCCTGTTCGTGTTTCTTTTTTTTTAGATTTTCTTTGGATGTCTTAGCCCCCTCCTCCCTCTCTTTCTCCACTCTGTTGGTTTTTAAGGTTTTGTGGTTTGTTTCTCTCCAGACTCTAATGAGCTCCAGGGGGAAAATTAGAGCTGGAATAACAAGCAAACATCAACATCGTCTTTCCTCTTCCTCTTCTTCTGTCTCTCCCTTTCCTCTCCTTCATCTGACTCCAGTCTTCCTCTTTATGCTTTTCTTTTCTGGAGCATTATTTTCTCTCCTGTCCCTCCTTTAGCTCATCTCATTTTATCCACTCTTTATCCACTGGCCGGTCTGTGACTTGGTTTTATCTCCCCTTCAGCTCTGACCAGTATTTGTCCTTCTTGTACATCCCCCTCTTTTGATTTTGTCTTCACTCAGTTTTTTCTTTGTTTGATTTTTATTTAGGTTGCCATAACTTTTTGGAAACAGAAACTGTCCTATGACTCACATTTGAAAATTAGGATTCCCTGTTCTCCTAAGGCCCCTCCTTACACTTAAATTCTGTGTGCAGCTCAAGTGTTGGTGATTTTTTGTCCACCTGACGCAATCATCATTTTCACATCCAGCCCCTGGGTGGTGAATATAGCAAACAAACTTGAACCCAATGTCCCATGACCGTGCTGGTATTCAAATAATGTGTGGTTAGATGGAGTTTTGCTATTTTGAGGATCCAGATAAGAATTGTGCTGTATACTATCACAAACCTGGTCTACAGTCAAAGGTGCATGTAATAGTAGGGGGATATATTCAAGACTGCACTGCAGGCATACATTTACAAGTTTTAAACTCTGATTTTCCTCCTCCTATTTCAAGACAAAGATACCCTAGCTACTGTCTCTTCACACACCTTGTGCCACCACAGCACTGCATGTGCCAATGACTTCCACCTCTGTCTCACCTGTGCTTATCCTAATTGGCACCTCCTCTTACAAAAACAGAGAGACCAGCTCTCCCAGACATGTGCTCACATGAAACAGAGGTACATTTTATTTGCTCTTTAAACTGAATAACACCGTAGGAGTCCCCACAGATAAAGTGTCTATGAGTGTCTATGCACCCAGTAAAGATCATACTAGGCGCGGTAATAGTTGTGGATTTTTCATTATAGTTTAATTTTATTTTGTTTGGATGTTTTTTTCCCTCTAATTCTGTTAGTTTTAATTATTTTTAAGAGCAGGTTTGTTCATTTTTATTAGTTTTCTCCTTCCCGAGTTTTGTTGCCACTTTGCCAGGTAAAATGGTGATGAGAAGCTGACTGTAAACAAGAGGTGATGAACTGGGAGGTGCCGTACAGTGCTGCTAGCTCACGCAAAATTGCTTGAGCAAAAGAAGACAGTTTTGTATCAATCTGAAAATTAAAAACGAAAGCGAAAGGATTTTCATCTTTGATTTTAATACTTTTTAGTTAGTTTTGTAAACACACAATACAGTTTCATTTAGTTATCGTTTTTTCTTTTAAGTATCATTTTTATTTATTTCTAGTTAACAATTTCTTTTCCTTTCTAGTTTTCATCATTCCATTAGTTGTAATAAATGATTATAACCCTGGGTTAAATGCACATCATATTTAGACATAGGTTCTGGGGCACAGTGGGAGGAGAGAAGCCAATATTCTTACTCATGTATCCTGTACTTCAGGAGAAAGACCAGAATCTAACATGTATCTACCAATCAGGAGACTTAATCCAATCTTTTAACACTTTGTAATTCACTTTGCTCTCAATTTGTGTGCCGCTTAACCAGCACTTGTCATGATTCACTCTGAGTTAAGTGCTCAGGATGTTGTGCTTAATGAACTCTTTTAGAGTTGATGTCACAATGAAGTCAAGGTATATTGGAGACAAAATGAAGCAAAACTGGAGGCAAACAGGAATTATAATCACATTGCAAATAAA